CTGCTCTATCATACAGGGTCATTATGAATCAGAATCACCTTTAGGCCTCTTTTTCCTGTCTCTCACCCCAGGACTACATTATTGCTATGCTCTTTTGAAACTGCTAAAATTTAGGATTAACTTGCAAAATATTTTTAAGTTTAGAGTGATAGATAAGTGGAGGGTCCTCTTTCACTAATATTGATGATGAATATAGAATCCCTGAATAAATATGCATGATAAAGAATTATGGGAAAATCAGTTCTGCTCCAGTGATATTTTTCCCTGTCCACTGAAAATAATGGGCCATCCTTTCTCTCAGAGGGCAAGTTCACTTAGGGTTAGGCATCGTGCTTGTAACTATGACTAAGTTGTGTCGAGGAAGTGAGCAAAACCATGCTGATGAGAAACCTGGGGCTCATTTCTTCCAACCTGAATGCCCCTAACTTCTTTGGAAAAGTCATTTCAACTGATCTAGATTTCTGTTTCAATAGAAAAGTTTTCTTGGCTTCTCTAAGCACAGTTAGCTCGACCAACTGCAATGTGTTGCAATGAATTATTTATACATTTATTTCATTGAGTTCTGGTTCGTTAAAGACTGAGGCCCCATCATTACTCATGTCTAGCCTGCATGTCTAGCACTTTGCACAATGCATAGGAACTACTTTGTTATCATGATATATTTGATAAATAAATGAAAGAACTTGGAAAAATACAAAGTATGCTATTAAAATAATGATTTTCAGGAAGTGCTGTCATAATCCTAGACTGATCATAATTAACATCCTCTGGCAGCACCTGTAACATCCCTTGTAGATCAGTCCCCCAATGAACTCTGCAGATGGTTTTAAGGAATAGGAAGGAGTATTTTAAAAGTATATAATGTCACAGACTTAAATAACAATTGTCATTTTCTAAGTAACAACAACAAAAAAATCCATCCAGAGTCCCATTTCATTTTTCAATTTCATTTTCAAACAAATCGTACTTAATAAAAATTTAAAAAATTTGCATTCAAATTTTCTATTTTCCTCTTAACCATATGTCATAGAATTTCCCCTTTCTCTGTAGCAGGGATCGGCAGACATTTTTTGAAAGACCCAAATGGTAAATATTTTAGACTTTGTGGCTTTACTCTTTCTTTAACAACTACTTACCTCTTCTGTTAGGAGCTCTGGTGGCACAGTGGTTAAAGCATTCAGCTACTACCTGAAAGGTCAGCAATTTGAATCCACCAGCGACTTCACAGAAGAAAGATGACACAGTCTGCTTCCGTAAAGATTTACAGGCTTGCAAACCCAATGGAGCAGTTCTATTCTGACCTATAGGGTCCCTCTGAGTCAGAATGGAGATGATGGCAGTGGGTTGTTTTTCTTTGGGGTGTCTATTCTGTTGTAGTGTGAAAGAAGTCTTAAACAATATGTAAACAAATGGATATAGCTGTGCTCCAGTAAAACTATATTAATAAAACCAGCCTTCTCCAGACTCAGTTTGCCAACCTCTCGTCTATAAACTCATTTATGATTTAAAATATTATAGAATATTCCTTCATTTTAATATATAGTTAGTCCCTGGGTTGCAAATGGCCAATTCAAGGATAACTCCTACTTGCCTTTTAAAAACAACAAAGCAAAACAGAATAGACCCAGTGTTTTACATTTTGACAAATCTAGCACGGTAACCAGAACTGACATACTATGAGTTGAAGCCCAGGAATGGGAGACGGCAGCCCTTGAATAGTGTGTGGCTTGCAGCTCCTGAGCCAAGGCAGCTGTAGCTGTCACTCGAGACTGCTCATGGTCTGTGCTGGTCTTGTCACCCTGCAGGTCAGTGCCTTTGGGGAGACACCAGCTTCAGAAGCTCTGCCCCATCTCCTGCAGGGCTTCTGATTCTGACCAAGCTCCCCTGAGGCTGCAGAGAGAGTGCCGCATGCTCAGAGGCACAGCCATTACTGGTGTAAGTTTGCAAACCCCAAGGCTCTAGGTGGTAAAGGAGAGCCAGAGCAGTTTGTGAAGGGGGGATTACTTTGATATATGTGTATGAAACATATACAAACATACCTATATATAACATGATTTCGCACAACAGCCAAATTATGTAAAGTCCTATCTCACAGAACGTATTATGGATGTTCAGCATCATATACATGTATTATAATTTACTTGTTTAATCCTATCTTTGAACACTTAGGATATTCGTCTTTGTTCTTGTTTTTCACTTTTCTGTTCTACTGTAATGAACACCAATTTGTGTATGGCAGTTTTGGTTTATACATATATAGTGATTTCTATAAGGTAGATCTCAAGAACTCTTGAAACACTGCCATACTGCTTTCTAAATAAACGGCATCTGGGGAAGGCATTGGCCTAACCTTACCTGGTCTGTGTTAGCAGCATGCAACGGGAAAAGAGAAGATCTAGTGCCAGTGAGAAGCATTTACTTCAATTCTAAGAAGTTTAGGTTGGACACCATTAGTTGACTGTTTTGATATATAAAAATAGTAATTTTGTATGTGGAAATAGGGCATGGGGGCGGCATCTTCTGACCTTCCCCAATCTCACAAGGAGGAAACACAGTCATCAAGAGCCCAAGGCTTATTCCTATAAGGCCAGACATACTGCCATCCTTCAACCTTTTCACTAACTCTGACACCATCCATCCCTCCCACGGCACTCACTACTTCTCTGCTGGGTTTGATAATTTGTTGCAATGGCCACACACAACTCACAGACAATACTTATGATTATGGAGTTTATTAGGGAAGTAACAGGCTGCAATTCAGGTTCAGGAATGCACTCAGGATACCATTCTTCAATCAGGACAGTCTCCCCTTTGCTTTGCCCTCAGGCATACCTTCCTGGCCTGTGCCCTGCTCAGGCAAGTGTTAGAAAGGCCTTTTAGCTCTGCCAATAGGTACACCTAAGTGTACCCCACTCCACCAGCAAACCTCCTGCCCAAAGGCACTCAGCCTTCTCTCTCTGGGTCTGGCAAGCCTGCCACTCTGTCTTGTATTTCTTGGTTCCACTGCCACCATTTCTCAGGGTGTCTCTGCCAATGAGGTCCAGCACAGGGATCTTGGGGCCAAGGATGTGCTCCACTTCACCTCCATCTCTTCTTTCTTGATGGCAGTGAGATCCACACACACCCCTTCTGTCTCTCCCAGAAAAAAAAAAAAAAAAAAAATCACTGTCATCAAGTCAATTTAGACTGATGGCAACTCCTCCTTGGATTTCCAAGGCAGTATCTCCACATAAAGTAGATTTCCCAATATTCCTTCCAAGGAGTGGTTCAAACCCACCAGCCTCTGGTTAGCAGTCAAATGCCTTAGGCGCTACACCACCAGAGCTCCTCTTCTGCCTCTAGGAGGGCTCATTTTAAGCTTAGCAGAATGACAAAACTAACCAATCCCAACATTAGACTTCCATCCTTATTTGCATGGTCACACCAAGTAATTGGATGGGAGTTTACAAAGACTATGGCTAGAAAAGGCATACCAAGTAATTCACTGCAGCACAGTATGGCTCAACATGCTAGAAATAACATTCATTAACTTTTTCACACAGCACACCTCTCTGACATTACACTCTAATAATAACATAGGGCTTGATTTCAGATTTTGTAGTCCTGAGTTCCTAATCCAAAATCAAACCTACTGCCATTGAGTTAATTCCAACTCATAGGGTTTCTGAAGTTGTAAATCTGTGGAAGTAGATACCTTCTTCTTCTTCCCACAGAGCAGCTGGTGAGTTTGAAATACCAACTTTTTGATTAGCAGCCAAATGACTTACCACTGCACCATCAGACCTCCTTGAGTTCTTAACAAGCCATGGTATTTTCAATTGCCACACATGCATGTGAAAGCTGGACAATGAATACTGAAGACTGAAGAATTGATGCCTTTGAATTGTGCTGTCAAAGAATACTGAAAATACCATAGAGTACCAAAATGAACAAATCTGCCCTGGAAGAAGACAGAATGCTCCTTAGAAGAAAGAATGACCAGACTTTATCTTACCAACTTTGGTAATGTCAGAAAAGACAAGTCCCTGGAGAAGGATATGCTTGGCAAAGTAGACAGTCAGTGAGATGGATTGACAACAATGGGCTCAAGCATAGCAAAGACTGAGAATGGCACAGCACTGGGCAATGTTTCATTCTGTTGTACATAGGGATGCTGTGAGTTGGAGCTGACTTGAAGGCACCTAACAACAATGTCCTGAGTTGGGGCTTTTAGAAGAAAGTTGAGGAATGATGAGCTGAAAATTCACACTAGTGGCTATTTCTTAACTGTTGTTGTTGTTGTTGTTGTTATGTGCCGTCGAGTCGGCCCCGACTCATAGCTAGAGGTATTTAAATGAGCTTCAGACTGTCTTGACCTACCAAGATGAAAACAACATGTACAAATGAGTAGCCTATAGTAACTTACCCTAGGCCATATAGTTTAGTGCGTGGTGAATCCTAGCATTCAAATTTAGCTCTTTTGGATTCTAAGGCTATCCATTTTCAACTCTGCCACTAAATATGAGTTGAATTCAGAGTGAGTCAGCAGCAATAAAGTAATTATACCTTAAAAAGTATTTCAGCCCACACATTTTAAGCTAGTAGTTTGAAAACTTACAGGCCTGTTTTTGTAAATAAAGTTTTATTTGAACACATCCACACCCATTTATTTATGTTATTTATGTATTTTATATATGTGTGTGTGTGTATATATATATATATATATATATATATATATGTATTTTTTTGGGGGGGCAGGGGAGCTCTGGCAGCATAGTACCTAAGGCACTTGACTGCTAACCAGAAGGCTGGTGGTTCAAACCCACCAGCCACTCCTCGGAAGGAAGATGGGGTAATCTACTTCCATAGTGATACTGCCTCAGCAACCCAAGGGGGGGTCGCTATGAGTTGGGGCCTACTCAACGGCACATAACAACAACAACATACCTTTAATGAGGGAAGTAGACCTGAGAGTTGGATGCTGATTTTATTTGGTCTTTCCTTCCTTTATTTGATTGCAGTACAAACAAGAGGGCAGCAAGGTAACCAGTTACTGCCACGAGACGATGCCAGGGTGGGTGCATGATGTGCTGGGCCAGAATTGGGCATGTTTCACTGGCAAGAAGGTGGGATCTACCTCTGAGTATGTGAGTGTACACATGGCACACCTTAAGAATCTTCAGGAAATGTGAGTTGTTACAAACAAAAGTTTTATTTTATTTTGTTTTAGTCTGTATATATGTTAATTCCTAGAGATTTTTATTTTAATTATATACATATTTTACTTAAAATACACTAAATTTTACTGGAAAAATATGTTGACTGATATAATTGAGAGAAGAACATTTTCTCACAGTATCAATGTTGAAATACCGTACTCCATTAGGAATGAAAGAAAAGAGTTTTATTAAGGAATAAGACAGGTTGAGCTGGGCGGCACAAAAATACAACCAAAAACCAAACCAAACTCAACTGCTGTCGAGTTGGACCCAACTCATAGTGACCCCTGCTTGGGTTTCTGAGGTAGTACCACTATGGAAGTAGGTTGCCCAGTCTTCCTTCTGAGGAGTGGCTGGTGGGTTTGAACTGCCAGCCTTCTGGGCAGTCAAGTGCCTTAGGCATTATGCTACGAGAGCCCCTACAAAAATTCAAAGTACTCCTCCATTCAAGTGAAGAGAAGGGTCTATATACACAGTGAACAAAGGTAAGGCAGGCAATTAGTACCTGATAGGATCAACTTCAATTTGAAGTCCCTTAAAATGTAAAGGTCAGTCATTTGGTTAGGAAGGGGTAGGCTACCTACCACCTGGGTTAATGGCACCAGATGGTTCAGTGACATATAGTCTTCCTAGCAACAAATTATGTGCATCCTGACAAATTCTTTCTATGAGCAAATTATTTATATCCTAACCTTTTGTTTCCTGGGAATGTATGTTGGTCCTTCCATTACTATTCTGAGATGAGTGCCTCCATGTTTGAAAATTTCTGTCTGCACATTCCCCCTTTTGATCAAGCCACTGCTAGTGGGTGCTGATGACCCACAATTGAGTATCCTTTTTCCTGCAAGGACTTTTTCTATTTTCTTGAGGAACTTTGGTTAATAAAAATTATTTTCTTGTCCCTGCCAAGGTAATAGGCCTCATCTTCAGGATGAGTAGGTTTTTGGTGAACATCTGCCAGACAAGACCATATTTGAGGAGCATTTCTCAGTCAGGATAGAACAATAGAGATCAAGATGAAGCATGCCCACGAAGACAAAAAGGATGTGATTAAACAGCATAATAACTGATGGAATCCTTTGAACTGGCTTGATTTTATGTGAGTGGTTAAATGGTTTTGAATTGCAGTATTTTATGAATAAAATGTGTTGAGCTAACACAAAACAACATGTTATAATTACAGTAATAGAAATGAGGAAGAATATAAACATTACAAAATAAAGTTGCAATTTTTTCACTATCCACTCTAAGGAGAAAACCAATTATTTATAATATCAGTTAAGAAAGGAACAGAATCATTGAGATTCAACACCATGGATTACATATGGGAAATATTGTGAATAATATTTGCACTATTAACAGGAATATAAACATAATCAGCTTTAATATGACATAGGTGCCTCTGTGCAGTGGTAAAGATGTCAAGGGCCATTGGTTTTGAAGAACAATTTCTTTCATCATAGTCATTTCAGTATTCATTTCTTGGAGTCCATGGGTGGAATCATTTAAAACACTGAATATATTTATTCAAAACATTGACATGTGCTATAACATCTTCTAATGCCATTTGAGGTACAAAAATAGAAGCTAAATGATTATAATACTGAAATGCAGATCTAGATTAATGAGTTCTACAAAGGGTATCAGCTAGAAGATGTAATTTAGTTAATATTCAACCTTGGATCCAGCTCAATCCTATAATACATCTACTATTTCATCCAGGTGCGAGCCAAGCCCAAGGTTAGAGCCACCTAACAAAGATGTGCTGCTTGGGCTAGTCAAATAGCAAGAATCAGTAGGTGAGAAAAAGCTTTTGTCATAGGATATTTTATAGCCATCATAGTGTTATTGTTGTTGTTATGTGCCGTTGAGTCGAAACCAACTCATAGCGACCCCTCCTTGGGTTGCCGAGGCAGTATCACCACAGAGGTAGGACTGTCCAACCTTACTTCCGAAGAGTGGCTGGTGGGTTTGAACCATCAGCCTTCTGCTTAGCAGTCAAGTGCCTTAGGCACTATGCTACCAGAGCATAGTGTTATTAGTAACTGAAATAGCTGATTTTTATATTTTAAAAAATGAAACATTGAATGTCAGCAATATTCCTGTAAGCCTTATATTACTATATGTTTATTTAAATAACATATCCTCTCTGTTTGTTTGCTAACCACTCCCTTCCCCAGGAGGTATTTTTGTAAATGCTGTTTGCTAATTTTTTATAGCAACACGTAGAAAGAAAAAAAAAAAAAAGGCATAGTAGCATTTAGTGTGTAAGGCACTTGACTGCTAACCAGAAGGCTGGCGGTTCAAACCCACCAGCCACTCCTTGGAAGGAAGATGGGGCAATCTACTTCCATAGTGATACTGCCTCGGAAACCCAAGGAGGGGTCGCTATGACTCGGGTCCAACTTGACGGCACAAAACAACAACAACAACAACCCAGTGGCGGGGATGGGGGGTGGGGAGAGCTGTTAGCAAACAAACATAGAAGGCATGGTTATTTGCATAAAAATATGCTAATTCTTTTAGTTGACTCAGTCATATGTAATTAATTTTGATTCCATGCAATTCTGGATCAGCAGCAATGTGAAAACTCCATCTGCTTCTATATAAGAATTTGAGGAATCTTGATTTGGTCCAGTGGTATCCATGTTTGAAATATTTTAATCCACATGAGCCTGATGCAGTCCATTTTTGTTGAAATATTTTAGTCAAGCATTTTCAGTGAATCAGCAAGGGGAAATATCTGCAGATTACAAACTTTAAAATGGCTATGATTAACTAATGATAATAATTCTTATATTAACGTCAATTAAAAAAACAGCTTTAGAAAAATGTCTCTAAACAGAGTGATTAACCTTATTTTCAATAGCTTCAGATATAACATATAATAATCTTCAGAACAATATCAAACAGTCAGGATATACCAAGAATATGCCACAATTATCAAATCTCTAAATATCTGAATAGTAATAAAAATTCCATAAATAAATGGTGTGAATTTCCAGTTAAAATCATCATCTTTGATGATGCTAGATTCAAAGAAACAAAGTTGCAACCAAGTTAGCAATTGAAATAATTTATGACCTAATATTATGTGTTTGTTTTTTGATACCAGGCAGACATTACTGATAGATAAATTTTAACTTCAAAGAAAATTTTGTACTTCTCTTGATTTGGTAACTCATTTTATGTAATTCTTAGCATATTCCTAGTGTATTCATAGTAGTTTTCTTTTTATAAAACAGAAACAAATCTTTTGTGGTTTTGTACAAAATTTTAAATTTATCAGAATTTTATTATAGGTTACCCAGAAATAACAGTTGACTTATTTGACCAAATATCTTAAAGGTAAAAACCTTTACTTTTTTCCTACAGCAATGTGGCTTGGTTTTTGAAACTGTTGCCTTTAAGGTCTTTTGCACAAAGAATAAAATTAACTCTCCAACCCAGTAATCAAAGAAATTTTGTTACCCAATTCTTTGCTTTATGTGCTGTTTGACATTTAAAACTCCAAACAATTCTCAAAAATTAACCATTAACCTTTTAGCCTCAGTAAATAAGAATTTTGACCGTATCAAACAACTTCCCTTTCAATAAACCATTTAAATTTCCTTCCTTGTTACATATTTCTCATAATACAACCTTTAAGTGCAAAAATGAATACATTTATTTCTAGACCCTATAGATGGGCAGATAGAAAGATATCTACATATAGATACAGATATAGATATATAGGTCTTTATTTTCTAATTATAGATCTTCATATATCTCTGTATATCTTTTTATGTCACAAAGAAAGTATATATATAAATTGATATATAGGGAGCTCTGGTAGCATAGTGGCTAAGACACTTGCCTGCTAACCAGACGGGTGGTGGTTCAAACCCACCAGCCACTCCTCGGAAGGAAGGTTGGGCAATCCTACTTCCGTAGTGATACTGCCTCGGAAACCCAAGGAGGGGTCGCTATGAGTCAGGTTTGACTCAACGGCACATAACAACAACAACAACATATAGATATCTATGTGTACATATCTATTTATGCATTGTCTGTGGCATAAAAGTTTAAGAGCCTATAAGCATCAATTATAACATCCATTAACTCAATTTAATATCAGTAAGTTACGTAGAAATTAAATTATGTACTACACAAAGGAGCTCTGGTAGCATAGTGCCTAAGGCACTTGACTGCTAACCAGAAGGCTGGTGGTTCAAACCCACCAGCCACTCCTCGGAAGGAAGGTTGGGCAATCCTACTTCCATAGTGATACTGCCTCAGAAACCCAAGGAGGGGTCGCTATGAGTTGGGGCCGACTCAACGGCAAATAACAACAACATATACTACAAAACATAAGTGAAGTTTGTCTAAATAGTTTATATTTATTTCCATTAAAACCTTTACCATTTCTTATATTTTCTCTTATGTTTTAGATTTGTCTAACAGTTTTTGTTTTTGTTTTTTTACATTGAGGATCCATCTATTTTCTGTTAACTGTATTATTACATCATTTTTCTTATTATCTTTTGTCTTAAAGAGGTTTTCACCTGGTTGGGAGGAGTCTTTTCAAAACCTTCTCTGGAGCAGTGTGAGTTTCAAAGGCTTTCTATCAAAAAAGAATCAGTTAATCTCAATTCATTTACTACGTATGTTTTAGTTGGCCTAAGTATTTTCAAAGATTAGAGATAATTAAGTCCTTTTCCTTCTAATAATTTTATTATTATTCTCTTTGTAAACAATTTAGCCTTTTCTCTTCTCATTCTATAATTAATAAAAATTACTTCCTTTTTCCTAAATAAAACATAATTCATACAATATCTAGTGTAAATTACTTAGATAGGGTTTGCTTTTAAGATTTTGCTTTCAAAGTTGACATAAAACTTTATCAGAATGAATTTATTTTCATTAATTCCTGGGAATATTATCACTGTTTAATTTATATAAGCACTTATTTATCATTAAAACAATCAGA